CCGCAGGCCCCCACCCCCATCCCCAGGCTGCTTCTAATCAACTTTGTTTTCCAAGGGTCTCCGAGTGTCTGACTCAGCCATCAATTAAATTCACCTGAGGGGCTTGTTACAGTGGCCATTTCTGGCTCCGTCTGTGGACCTACCAATTAAAATTTCTGGGGATGAGGCCTGGGAATCACATTTTTAACAAATTCCCTAAGAAATGTTAATCCAGGGGATTTTAGGAACATTCGTTGAGAAGCACTAGGTCAAAAGAGACAATGAAACTGGAATGCTTGGGTGTGGGGAGCAGATGAGCGAAGGCCTCAGAGCGGGGACCGGACCGCGGAAGGCCACCCCCGGGCAGGGAGCTTGGTCCCCACCTCACTGGCAGGCAGGGGCCAGCGCCGGGCTGAGACACGGTGAGCTGGGCACTGAACCTGGCTGCCCCTTTAACCTTCAGCTCATACGCATGTGTCGTCCTGTCCAAGAAGGACTCCCCTGCTCCCCGGCCCCCAGTCCTGGTCCAGCAGAGGCTCCTGGTCCTTTGTGCTCCCTCTGACCCAGCACCGACCACGTTGTGGTGACACCGGCCACTCCCCTGTGTCCTGTGTCTAACCTCTCTCCACCAGTAAGCTTCTGCAGGCAGAGAAGAATCGGGCACGCAGCGGGTGTCCCGCAAATGTTCAGCAAGCAGGCTACTGGGTTCCATTTACAAACATGTCACCGCCAGAGGGTCCTGACTTTTCCCCGCAGAAAGCTCTAGGCCACTCCTGGCTCGCACGGCCTAGAACCCTTCGTGCCTCGCTGAGAAACCGGGCCCTGTTTCTAAACCCCTCGTTGACCGGCGGATATTACAGGGGTGGGAAAGAAACATCAGGTGCCCCAGGTTTTGACTGTACCGTCACACAGTTAATATGTTCCAGAAAGAACCAAAGCACAACTCTGTCCGAAGTCCACACACGGGCGAGCCCCTCGCAGGGGGTTAAGGGCAGGAAAATGCAGCAACAGGTGGCTGATTACAGCGCGAAGCCCGGGGTGTGCAGAGTAGTTTAAAGGCGAAAAGCAGAGCACCTGGCTCCCCGGCCAGCCCCAGCCCCACCTGTGTCAGGCCGCCGCTCAGGGGCAGGTGCGAGGCCAGGCGACCAGAACTTTACCTGAGGCGACTTTATGAAGAAGGCGGGGAGCATCCCGGGAAGGGCGACCACAAAGCGCACCCCCGAGGCCGCCCTCACCAGACTCCCCCTCATTCTCCAAGAATGAAACGCTCATCTGGGTGTGCAGGGGGGGCCGCCCGACCACCTCGTGCCTGCTTCGGTCCACCTGTGCGCACCTGTGCTTACCTGTGCTCGCGGCTGTGCCCACGCCTGGCTGTGCCCACGCCTGGCTGTGCCCACGCGCGGCTGTGTCCATGTGCGGCTGTGTCCATGTGCGGCTGTGCCCACGCCTGGCTGTGCCCACGCCTGGCTGTGCCCACGTGCGGCTGTGCCCACGCCTGGCTGTGTCCATGTGCGGCTGTGCCCACGCGCGGCTGTGTCCATGTGCGGCTGTGCCCACGCCTCGCTGTGCCCACGCGCGGCTGTGCCCCACGCGAGCAGCCGCGCGGCCACCGCCCGGGCTTCATCTTGGCCGGGCGCTTTCAGCTTGTTCACGGCCCGCGGTCAGCTCCCTGCGCCAAGGGTCTCCGGGCCCATTAATCCTGAGCGCGGAGAGGCTGGAGGGACACCCCAGGGTTCGGGGGTCCCCCGCGGAGAGGCCAAGAAGTCGCCTTCCGCAGCTCACGGGGAGGGCGTCTGTGCCCAAGACTCAAGCCAGGCCGAGTCCCGGCCTTTGGCAGGCGATCCTCACCGACCCCGCAGCCTGC